TGTTCTATCGCACACGCAACAACAAATGCTAGAGAAGACGACCAGTGTAGCAGCATTCTCTGCAGCAGCAGGTCTCAACATACATAAAGGAAAAAGCGAAATTCTCCAATGCAACACAACATGCACCAACCAAATCACTCTTGGTGGAGATGCCTTGGAGGACGTTAACACCTTTACATATCTGGGCAGCATCATCGACAATCAAGGTGGATCCGATGCAGATGTGAAGGCGCGGATTGGCAAAGCAAGGGCTGCATTTCTACAATATCCGCAACTCCAAACGACTTTCAACCAAAGCCGAAATCAGGATTTTCAATACAAATGTCAAGACAGTCCTACTGTATGGAGCGGAAACTTGAAGAACTACGAAAGACATCATCCAGAAGATACAAGTATTCATTAACATTTGTCTACGTAAAATGCTTCCGATTGGTTGGCCAGACACGATCAGCAACAACGTACTGTGGGAGAGGACAAACCGGATTCGAGTGGAGGAAGAAATCAGGAAGAAGAGGTGGAAGTGGATGAAACACACACTACGAAAAGCACCTAACTGCGTCACGAGACAAGCCCTCACTTGGAACCCTCAGGGCAAAAAGAAAAGAGGAAGGCCAAGGAACACATTACGCCGAGAAATAGAGAAAGAAATAAGCAGAATGAACAAAAATTGGACAGAATTGGAAAGGGAAGCACAGGACAGAGTTGGTTGGAGAAAACTGGTGGGCGGCCTATGCTCCATTGGGGGTAACAGGAGAAAGTAAGTAAGTAATTAAGTCAGTATCTAGGAAAATGTAATTGCCCTCAATGGTCTCAGAAAACACAGTAACTGATTAGTAAACATGTTTTTTCATCCTGTATCGCCACATATAACCCCTTATGTGTACATTTATCATCATTTTGAGACCAAGAGCACTCGATTCATACAGTCGGTGAATCCATTGTCTGCTGAACCTGACTTTGTGGACAATGAAAACTACCCGGCTAGTGTTCACAAGACTATAGTAAATTATAGTTGGAATACAAATATTTGCTTACTTCGGTATGAACACGAATACAATCTTCATAATAACCCGGTTCTTCAGGGAAAAACATCAGACGGCATACAATACTGCAACCAGGTACCAAACATCTCTAAAAATCACATGAAAACAAGGAAAACAAGACCGGTTCATTGATGATGCATTACCCTGGGAAACGTGCAGAACCTAATTTTGAACGCCTATATATTCGCAAAGTCAACATAATGGAACTAATTTTAAACTCTGATGAATATCAGTTCTTAATATTCCACTAACTTATCGCCGGTTTATAATCATGTGGATCAGTTTGAGTGAAGTAAAATTCAGAACTTTTCTCTCCAAGTGTACGTCTCTGTGCAAGATATGCATCAGAGATAAATTATTTATCCTGTAGCAAGTATATAAAATAAGTCACTTAACCTTGGCTATACAGTAATATGTTTAAAATCATCATATATTTTCTAGGCAACCATAAACATAATAGTTCACTACACGGAAAAAATAAGCATTTCTCTCCACTGTTCCGATAACTCTACCCTATTCCCTTCATTACAGATATTTCCATATCTAAAAGTTTCACTTTAATTTCAGAATATTCAATTCATAGAATACACTGTCGTCCTTTCATCAAACAAACTAATGTGTGTTCGACAACTGGTTATCAAAAGTACACTCCATCTTTTTGTGTAGTATAGCAGCCATCGGTGCATCATAAATGAAACACCACTTCCACGTTTACTCATATAAAACCATTAGGCGAACATGTGACCTGTCATAAATTAAATTGCAATACAAACTACAAAACAACCATCGCTAACGGATTCCGTTCAATATGACTACTTTGTAGAAACTGCAAAACTTGACGATCGAGTTTATATGATGATTCCGGCCTTTGTTTGCATCAGCAACCGACCAGAAATTCCAGCCGGAATAAGTCATATGAGTCTCAGCGGTTGATATTTGCAATGGGACACACAGTTTTCAGGGAAATACGTACTAGATAGGAATACAACTGGCTTTCGAATCTACAAATCTTGTTAACAAAGACCGAACTATTTGGTTCAATAAGAGTCATTTTGTTAGTTGTCCTTTTAACAGTACTCCAGGTAAAATTATTTTTCAAGTGGATAATAGGAAAACAGGTGTGAACAATATTGTTTTCGATTAGATCGTCATCAGGCTTTACTCTAATATACATGAATATTCATATGAAAATGTTAAACCAATCAAGGCAATTTGAGTGATAATCACAATGAAATGAAAAAGATTACGTAACTACATCTAATAGGCAAAAGTTCCACTGTATGTAAAAGCATGCGACTAAGACTATACGTTATATAGGAGTCGCGTGACGGAAAACTGTTCATGCTGGAAAAAGTCAGGGCAGTTCACTCAATACATTAGACAGGTTGGGAAAGTTACCACTAGTATTTTGACAAAACTCACCGGCTTTTTATACGACAACCGAAAGTACTTGGTATCTGGAGGCAATATATGCAAACATGTTACGCGACCAGATATATTTTTTAATTCGAATCGTTTCGTCATAACAGCTTCTCGCGGACAAAATCCACTGTTATCAAAATGTATTTCAGCAGGTTCAACAGCGATCAATTTATTGGATCCTATCTTCCAGAAAATTTCTTCATAGAAGTAAGATTGATTTAAGAACTGAAATACTGCTTTCGAAATTACCTGTGTTCAAAATGTGATTCGGTGGTGACTCATATTTGTATTCTTCAACTATTCTTTCACTAATTTCTACCATCTCGGTATTGCCAGAAGCTGTAGTTGAGAGGTTCACGTAACAGCTTATGAAAATCAGGTAAAATTCAAGTTTTGATTCAGAACCTGCTGACTGCTCTTCAACACTCGAGTCTGGTTGTGATAGGACTCAGTGGGAAAGAAAGCGTTTGCTGATATGATTGACCGATAACCAAATGGAATTGGCATTGTGCAGCCGAACGAGACGCCATCGGAGCTGAAATGAAATAATTGATGCCATGAAATTCGGCTTTCGGTCAAGTCACGTTTGATGTGGAATCACTTACTAGTGTAGAAGTGTTCCACGACAATACTGTGAAGCATGCAGTGCGAGAAACCTGTTTTCAGAATGCACAAAATATAAATAACTAGGCGAATCAACAGCCTCATAGTGTGAACTCACATTTTACAAATGTATACTGTAGTGAAGATAATATGACGATCTTAAAAAGGATCTGATAGAGCAAGATTTAGAATGCGCTACAAATAAATATTTCAAAATTTCGTTCCCAGTCGTTATGACAGTAAGGTCAAGTCATATATCCAATATCCAATATTCGAAATTTTTTCACGAGCAGTTATAAACCAACCTGTTCCTTTGCGCTCGATTTTCGTTCTTTCGGGAGTGTACAGGTGTTTGGTGATGTTCAATGGATGGTTGTCTAAACACTCGACAGCCAGTACGTGTTTACAAGTCCTTCTTAAGGCTGTTCACTGAAGTGGATGTGGTCACCTCCGATGGGAGAGCATTCCAAGTTGCGAAAACTCTCAATAAGAAAAAGTGCACGAAGCTGACCGTTCGCTCTTCTATGTGCAATTTCATGAAAATAACCATGAAGGATGTGATGTTGATGCCTCGGTAAGATGCTTACCATCGGATGTATTGATGTGACTAATACGTTGTTTACCAAAATCAGGTGACTTCTGATTCTCCTGTAACTCAAGGAGAATACCCACAAGTGCTGTAGTCTATATTCTTACGTATTATCTTTCAATCTTATTTACCATTATGTTGCTCGTCTTTGCATTCAATCCAAGAGATTTATGTTTTAGCGGCTCACAACTGGACTCCAATGTTTACGAATGATCGAACGTTCAATGAAATAAATCTTCCTGTGCATTTCCGTTTATCACACTTAGACAAAGCCCGTTTGTGCGACGGCAGTAGTAAAAAGACAAACACGATTTTGCGGATTAGTTCATTTTGAGAAGCGATTTGGAGAAGGCAAGTAAGCCAAATCTCAGTTTGCTGAATAATGATTAAGTATTTATACGCAAGCAATAATAAATAGGCTAGACATGTCTTAAGCGAGTAAGCAGGCACACATTCATAGGCTAGACATGTCTTAAGAGAGTAAGCATACACACATTCAAGCAAACCTTCGATAATCGATACTGTTATGGAATTATTACAAATACAAAAATATGGTCGATACTATTATCGAATAATTTAAACAACTGATCAATGAAGTACAATGAATGAATGGTGAGTTGCTACAACGTCTCTTGTTAGGAGGAGAGGTGCAACGACCTTGTGAACCTCAAGGAGTGGGCGCGCTCATGTCTTAAACAACGTTAAGAATGAATTCGGGATGATAGTATACATTTGTCTTCACGTTAAGTGAAGAGTTGCATTAGCCTTGACTGCGTCCACTATATTGTTCGAACTGGTGTGCAGCCTTTCAGTCGTTAATAAACCGAGATCGCGCTCTGAGGAGACATTACGGAGCGGACTTTCGATAGGGACGTAATTCGTTTGTCACATGGGGAAGGAAATTGATGAACGTGAAATTTTGACTAGTTTACTTTGAAACTGTTTTTCACTTCACATTCTTAAATAGGTGTGTAGATCTTTTGAAGCTCACTTGAATTCTCTCCAATTCTGATGGACCTCCAGATCCTTGCAAAGTCTGCGTAGATCGATGCTGCCAAGCCCACTTGGTCTAACAGATCTTTAGTGAACATCAAGAAGCGAAGTGGACCAAAGATGGTCGACTGTGAAATTCTCGATGTTGAGACTCGCATACTAACGTGAACACTATTTACCTCAGTGTATACGGCCTTAGTGTAAGGCAGTATACAACCCGAGATAGGAGGGGATCAGTGAAGTCCATTTTTGAAACCATGATTAGCATTTTGTAGGGCAATGTTTCGAAGGCTTTCTCAAAGTCAAAAAGTATAATTGGGCACCGATAGTTTTCTGTCCCAGTAGGTTCGCCAACCGCCTCACGCTATGAGAATATTTGATGTGCACGATCTGCCTTTCCAAAACCCACGTTGAGCTTCACAGTAGAATTTTTTCTTATGTACATAGGCTTGATTATTACAGTGAAGAAGTGGATACCTGAATTTCCTGATCGGTGAAGTTGGTGTGGAAGATCTTATTTATATATCGGTTGGTGAGATCTTCGCCATTTGGACCTTTGAGTGAACACATCCTGATTTGTAGGTTTTTTGTTGTGAACCTAAACAGATGCTTAAGCTTTGCTTGTATTTGGCAGCTAGCTTCATATGATAGCTTCTTCTATCACTTCGAACATTTTTAGTACATCTGTTTCTCAGTTGCAAGTAAAAGCCACGACCATAATCCTTCAAAGAGACCTTCCACTTCTGCCAAGCTCTCCTCTTCGCCTGTAGCAAGCGTTCAGTGCAGCGTCTAACCCATATCCTTCTACTTACAGATGTGTTGTGTGGCTGAGGTACATTACGTACGACATCATTCTGAATGATTTCTCCCACTGTTTACCTGTGATCATCTAACTTCAGCCTACGCCATTCACACAGCCCTAGGGCATGTACAAGGCTCTCTTTCATGCGCGCATACTTCACTCTAGTGTGGCAAGGATGAGACTCGTCTTCGTCCTGGCTGTAGATGCATGTAGCTACTCTGCCTCCAATTTGATGTAGCGTATTCCTTTGGAAGATATCATGTCTTGAAGGCTCACTTCATCGTCTGCACTGTAAGGGGATAGATAGCCTTGTTTAAGTTATAATTATGATCTTGGTATCCATCTGTAAACATATATTCCAGACTTCGTTCAGCTCACACCTTGGTCCTTCTACGTCGCTATAGAGGCAATGGGTGATTGTCCCATCAACTGATGCACCTCTGTAACAACAGCCGTTGTCGGATTTTCGAACATGTTGTATAGATAGAGCTGGTCAGTTATGTGGGAAACGGCCAGATCTGGATCGGCTTCCGCAACACCTAATGTGGCTAGAGAGTTTGTCATTCGAGTTAAACCAAGCCCGGTACACCCCACTTAGTTATTCCTGATTTCTGAAATCCACAGCTATCAGACGTGATGACTTAATAGTTGTGAGATTAGACGAACGGGACAACTGGGAAATGCCAGTTGCCCTGGTGGTGTTTAAGACCCCGCTACGTTACAGCCATTGTCATTGTTGCACTATTTTAAGAAAACAGTCAACGGTTCAGTGGTTCTCGGTCACAATGATAAACAGATTCACATG